CAACGGGCCCGTTAGATTTGAAGTAACTGATATTTTTCACCAATTCTAGAGCAATGTCAGGGTGTTTTTCACACAGTCGACCGAATTCAGGAACAACAATTCGCAGATTATTCTCGAAGTCAGGGTTAGTCTCCGATTTCTTATTCACCGATGTTGCTCTCTCGCAGTAGTAAAGTAATAATAAACGGACAATATCGGTTCTACCCAACGATATAGCGCAAGAAAGATCTGACATACGTTTCTCTTCCTCAAAATCATCAAGTGTCAGAGTAATTTTTTTCTTCATCAACAATTCCTTAGTCAAAGTATTGGTTCGTTCACAATTGAATTGCATTAAAACCTGCAATATTTCGCTCCATGCCGTTTTTGAATCGTTAATAAAAGTGCCACCAATTGCTTTAAGCGGAAAATCCCTGCGCTCTGATTCGTCACCAATTGATTTAAGCCGAGAGCCCCTGCGCTCTAATTCGTCAGTCGATTCAATACTGTCAGACGAAAGGGCACGGGCGATGATCGATTTGCAGCCATCAAGAAGCGTTTCATAATGTTGGTAGCCTTCATCCGCCCATGATTCACGTTCAAATAAGTTCAAAATTCCAAGAGCATACGATGCATCTTTTACTGTTTGGAAACTGGCAGGAGCATCCTTACGTGGCAAGCGGATTTTATAAGTATCAGCGCTGCCTTTCAATTCGATAATAAAGACTTCGCCTGATAGTTTCGTCAATTCTGCCCACTCAATAAAGTATTCTTCAATAAGATCTTTTTTGCGATTTTGTTCTGTAATTGGTATACACCAAATATATTGCAGAGTTTTACTTTCTTCTGCAAAGTTAGACCATAACTGTATCGTGTGTTTACCAATGAACAATACTCGGTCATTTCTATCATCCAGCATGACCGCTGTTCTGACACCTGATGCAACCCATGGCTCTGGTTTAAATTTCCCAACAGAACTAATTTCTTGCACGTTACAACGTGTATATGAAATCACTTTGTTATTACAACCGTTTGCTTCAAACTTATGCACTCTCTTTGATTTGGTCTTGGGAGGAACAAGCGAATAAACAGGCAGAGAAATAGAAGTAAAGTTCGCTTTTTCTGGTGGCGCTCCGTTTCCGGTGGATTCCGGTTCATTTAAAGGGTCCTCAGCAATGGGCGCATGTAAAACGTTCTCTTGTTCTTCAGCAATAGTGGTAAACGTATCCATGACAAATTTCTTCGCGGAATCGTATAAACGCTCTTTTACATCTATGGGATAAACTTGAGAACTAATCCATTGCTCCAAACTGTTAATGGGCAGCGTCCATTCGCTTTGGAACTTCTGGCAAAAAATCTTAATACACGCGATGATTAAAGCTGTGGACCAAACGCGCGTGCTTACGGACATTAGCTGCTTGTCAGTCTTAATACGCGTTGTTAGGGCGTGAAAAAGATCCGACGCAGATTCAAAATTAAAGCAGAGAGCTAATTTGTTGCTGACATCGAAAGCAACGGCGTTAAACGTCATGCCGATAAGACGGTACAAGTCATTGATGTCAACAGTGTCCTTGCTGAAATCGAAGCGGTTACTTTCAAATTTTGTGGAATAAAATTGAGCTTCAAGCTGTATCATGCACTTGACCCCTCCTGGAATATTGATCTGTTCACTTTTTTCCAAGAGTTGTTTCCTATTATATAGTCCATCTGCATTGCGCGTCATCAACTCACCCAACGGTAATGAAAAAGATCCAGCAGTCAAATTTTTATCGAAAATGTCGAAAATGAGCTGGCCCTTTGCATTGTGTACTGGGACGCAATGTACTCCACAGACGTAGCTGGCTGTGTATGCAGGCATCTCGTTGTTGGCAGCTCCCTGTGAATTAACTTTAAAGACGCGAACACCCATACCGGACAGTCCGTCCGATAAAACAACTTCTTTTACTTGATCAATTTTGACCCTGATGATACCAACCACAGTAGTGTCACTATCATCATATTCATCTTTGTATAGCCCGTTATCATCTAACTCATATTCATCGTAATATTCAAATTCTTCAAATTCATCATCCTCTTCAATATAGTTAAATTCATCTTCGTCTTCAAATTCTTCATCGACATCCTCCTCTTCAGTTCTGGACTTCTTAGTTGATTTGAAAGACAAATCCTTTGTTAAAGTCTCTTTATCGACTTGATAAAAGTCGTAAACAAATACTCTCGCCTGCTCAAGTAGATTCTTTTCGACCTCCCTGTTACCAATTTGCGCGCTTAACCAAATGGACGACTTCTTGTAAGCATCTGCCCACGTTTCACGGTGATCAACCAGTACATAGCGGAAGTACCATTGAAGGACTGCTGTGCAGTATATGTTCTCATTAAAATCAATAGACTTCGATGAAAACCAAGCCCGTAAATTTTCTCGTGCAACTTCCGCTGACTCGTATCCGAAAAGTTTTGCAAGACGAGCATCGAGCACGTAAGCACCTTCAGTTTGGTATGAAAGTATCCGGCGGATGTCTCGATTAGAAACAAGTGT